AATGAAAAAAGTTGGAAAATTGATAGATCCACACCACCAATTATGTATAGCGCATGGCATACAATTAGCCGTAATTAAAGTATTATACAATAAAACTGATTTACACGATGCTGATAAATTACGTGACGAAAATATCGATGAAGATATTGAGCCCGACACAGGTAATGAATCTGATTCTGAATATTCCGATAATGAGGAAAATTAAATTTTAAACGACAATTTGGAAATTGAATACGAAGCTGGTGGAACCATCGATCAAACTCTGCCAGTGCCAACTTTCTTATCAAATATCGAATTAAATAGTTTAATTACAAAAATTCGGAAAGTCGTTAAAATTTTTCGCAAATCACCGACTAAAAATGATAAGATTCTACAAAAACATGTAAAAGAAGAATTTAATAAGGAATATTCTTTAATACTCGACTGCAAAACCAGATGGAACAGTTTGTTAGCAATGCTGGAAAGATTTGAAATGTTAAGAAATTGCATCAGAAAGAGCTTAATAGACATTAAATCAGAAATAAACTTCACAGAAGATGAACTTCAGTTACTATCTAGTACAATTTTAGCATTGCAACCGGTAAAAGCTGCAGTAGAGCAATTATGTTGCGAAGATTCAAATCTTTTTGTAGCTGATATTATCTTAAAATTCATGATTGATGAGCTTACAAGTCAAAACACAGTTTTAAGTATTGAACTGAAAGAAGCATTGTTAGATCGTATAAAAGAGAGACGGACCATTTATTCTGATGTTCTTCAGTACCTGCATAACCCGTTTCCAGAGGAATCCAGTGGTGAAGATTATGGAGTATTTAATAGAACCAGCGAATCTACAATAAGAAATGCAATAGTGGAAGTAATTGGGCGGATTTCAAAACAAAACCTAGAAGAGTCATCAGAAAATACAAATAGCATTGACCTCGATGATTCCTCTGATGAGGATGAGGATAACATCCCCCTCAGTCGGGTTTTGGGCCCATCAACATCAAAATCGGATAATGCTGAATTGTCGATTAAAGAAAAACTTCAACTAGCGATAAGAAAGAAAATTGATGTAAACAGTACTCTTCCAATTAGAAGACAGCAGGATAGGCCTAACATTCATCAATGTGTGAAAACAGAAATGCAATATTTTCGGAAGGAGAGAATTCAGGGGAAATACTTGAAAATGACTTTCGCAGCACTCATGACAACTCGGCCTACTAGTGTGGAGTCCGAAAGAGCCTTTTCTGCGGCAGGAACAATTTGTACTAAGATTAGGTCGCGGCTTAGTGATAATAGTATTGATAAGCTGTGTTTTCTAAGGGCCTTTTTTATTAAACAAAAGAAATCGAAAGAGTCGTTGGAAAAGTAAGAAACGATAGATATTTTTTTTATTTAAATTACTATTTCGAATGTTTTAGGGCCTGATATTAGACTTTAAGTTAGGTATATAAGTTTTTTTTTTAAAGTTCACCTAGAGTTTTACTTTTCTGTTGTTATTATTTAATAAGAATAAAAGTTTGTTTATTTATTTTGTGGCTTATTTCTTTGTTATTTTTTTTATATCGGAAAAAACCGGTAAATCGGTAATTTTTTAAATAATTTACCGAATTATCGGTAAATTAAAATTCGGTAAATTTGCAATCCCTAGACACGACAACCCTTTTTTTCAAGTTATGACGTCTTCGATGTCAAAAGTATGAACCCTCGTGAAACGATCTGTATGTAGAAATTTATTTATTTCTATCATTCAGGGCCGGTTTCTCAATAGCGAGTCACCCCCGAGTTAAGCCTAACTCTAGGCTAAACATTGCAAATGGACACGTTTACCCTGGACCTAAAACCAACCTGGAGGTGACTCGCTATTGAGAAACTGACCCTAAAACAAGTGATACCTATTTACCTCCAATTTGCAGAGCCTACATTTGTATTCAAATTTCAAAATTTGACGAGCTTTCAGCTAGTACACAATGTTGTCAATCTAGTACAATTATTCCCTACTTTCTGGTACAATTATTCCCTACTTTCTGGTACAATTTTTTTAGTGCCAATAGCATCCCTGCATAAAGGGGAAAAAGTGACAAAAATGCAGTGACATTTATTTAAAAATCGCTCCTCAAATAGGCTCAGAAAAAAATAAAATTGATTTTGCAAAATAATATTAGAAACAAGCCATATCATAGATGTAAAAGAGAAATAAAACAGTGGATTCGTCAGAGTAATTACAAGATACATTACCTAATTTAAAAATAGTAAAAGATAATAACATTATTATTGTTTATATTTATATACATAAGTGAGTCAAATTAGGAACCTCAAGGGATAGACTGATATGGGAAAAAAGGGGCACACACAGTATTTCAAATACCATCGTGCACCCACATTAGGCAATAGTGTTAAGTATAGGTAAACTATATTGGGTATTTTTGTTATTATTTAAGGATACTATTGTTGATCAATAAATAAATAAATAAATAAATAAAAAAAAAAAAAAAAAAAAAAAAAAAAAAATAAAAAAAAAAAAAAAAAAAAAAAAAAATTTCGGTTTTTTCCGAATATCTTCGGAAGTATACGGAATTTTTCAAATTTCAAAACGGCATTTTATTGGTCATAAAATTGCGCAATTTTGCCATAATTTAACCGACCTCTTATCTCTCATAGTTTCCGATATCTCAATGGTCACCCTCGAATTTGGGACACCCTGTAAAGGGTTGTTCCGTATATTTTGACAGCATATAGTTCGATTATAAAGCAAGAAAAAAAAAGAAATGTGAATACAATACAAAGTAAATAGGGATTTAAGACAACCACTAGCTAGAAAATATAGCTTTTATATACAAGGTTATCCATTCAACTTGAGATATGTAGTTTCCCAAAACAGAGAGTATTTTTTTAAAAAAATGTTCAAATAAAAGATTATGCCAAGGGCACAATAGTTAAATGCTGAGAATGGAGTGGAAGTGGTGTGCACTTCCAATTCGCTGGCTTTACAATTATGGACAAGCGAGGGGTTATTCACTAAGGGAAAAATGTGACAAGATTTCAGATTTAGAGCGATTTTGAGGGATTTCAGAGGATTTCGGTGGGATTTTGGTAGGATTTCAAAAAAAAATCGAGGGATTGAGAAATGGCCGCGTTGACCGATTTATGAATTTTGGGCCAATTGCGAGGGATTTTTGGGTCTGCGGAAAGATTTCTGAGAGACTTCAGAAGGATTTCGGCGGATTTGTGACACGATTTCGGGGAGTGAATAAACCCATGGGGACAAACTTATGGGTATCAAAAGAGAAGTATTCTTTGCATCTAAACAAACTGATCCGAATCACTTGAGGTCTGCTTCAAACAATTGTCAGTTGGTTTCAGTGCTGCCAGGTTGAAAATAAGGAAAGTGGTAGGCATGACATAAAAAAAGCGGTAGATCTTCCCCTACTCCATTTGGGCTAAAAATACACTAGAGATGATATAAAGTATGGGTACAACAAAATGTACATAGAATAAATAAATAAAAAACAAATTAAGATAAACACAAAACACTATATAGATTTAACCAAATATTTTATTAGGGTGAATCATATAATATGTGAACATACTTATGGTCGGTTTCTCAAAAAAAATAAAAACCTCTATGTAGATTTAAAAACTGAACGGTATACTCATTCTGAATCGGAAAACCGCTCAGATTTTTTGTATATTTTGTTGTTATAATAATATGATAACGACTGTCTATGTATTCTTTGGAATTGATTAAACCAACAATCTGTTTGTGGATAAACGGTTTCTCTGGAATTACTCCGTTTGCACTCCAGCCTTAATCTGATACGCCAAAAAGCGATACCCGAACGGTTGGAGTGCGAATGGAGTCACTCGGAGTGAGCAAGCCGAACCCAGCTGATGTCAACGTCGAGTACCGCGCTACGCTACTAAAGTCTGTTTTTTTTTAAAGATAAAAGTCAAAATGACATTATGTTGGCAATACAACGTAAAATTGTCAATGCTTTCAAATTTTTATGTAGAAAAGGCTTGAGTTGCCAACATAGTTACTAAATTTTTGACTTGGGGAATTTTCTTTAAAAAAAAAAACAGGCTTTACAATAGAAATGTCCTCTCAACGTCATTAAATATTTAGCGGTAGAAAATTATATCAAAAACGGTAGAACGGTAGCTCATACATCAAAACGGTAGATCTACCGCTAAAACGGTAGACCTGGCAACACTGGTTGGTTTTACAGTCTACTTTTTATCCATCATACATCATATTCATGTAGCTTTAACTTAAGAAATGTTAAATCTGATCTTCTTGAAGTTGAGTATTTTTATTTTTATTCCAAAAATGGTAATCACCAGGGTTTAAAAAAAATTGAAAATCTTAGTACCACCAGGTAGGTACTAAGCTCCTGCTTATTCTGTAAGGAACAAAGCTTTCGATTCTGACGTCATTTTCGATTTGGTAGCGCGAAAACCAAACCGAAAATGACATTACAATCGAAGAAATTCTACCGAATTGAACGGTTCGTTCCTTACAAAATAAGGCCCCTGGGCAAGGCAAGAGCTGTTTTCTCGCGTCCTCTTTTTTGAAACTGGTTCAAAACAAATTTGAAATAGTATATTTTCGTGATGAACCCATGACGTCACACAAAATTCAAACCGTTTTGAAATACAATCTAATCCAAGTTTTCAAACCATTGTCTGGCGCCCAGAAGTAATGACGTCATTGTGAAAATGGTTTAAACCAGTTTTGGAAAATGTTTCAAAATTTTGAGACGCGAGAAAACACCTATGGATGTAAAAATTATGAATTGTTGAAGCCCAAACTTTCAAATATTCAAATCATTAAAAAATGCTTAATTGTGAAAAAACAAATAAAAATACGCAAATTAATTGATTTGTTGACTACATTTATGCATAAATACTCCGAAATTTTCATCGGATTGCAATATTCGAACGAGATGATTGTCGATTTGAAAAGTTGAACTACATAGTTTTTGCTAAATACAGACAAAAAAATCAATTTTACTCACAGTTACGGCGATATCGTCGTCGGCCAAGACGAGGGCAGAGTAGACGCAAGCTAATTCAGCGTTGGATGCCATTTTTGTTTAGTTTTATTAATTTCTAGTGCAAGTCGTCAAAGACCTTAGCTCAAGAGAGAACAAGCACACGGTCTTGTTTTTCAAAGTGAAAAGAAAAGAGAAAAGTTTGGTTATGTGAATAATCCAAACATGTGACATGTGACGTATATACGTTTCTTGACAGCTCTTCTTTTTTGAGGAAATGTGTTCGATAGCCACTGTACTGCACATGTGCACTGAACTGAACTGAACAAGTTGTTCAAGAACACAAATACGTACGTAAAAAAATGTAATTCTTTTTAGGGAATCATGGGATTTTAAAGTCTGTTTTTTTTTAAAGATAATTCCCTTAGTCAAAAATTTAGTAACCATGTTGGCAACACAAGAGGTGATTTTCAGTGACCCATTTGAGTTACTCCTAAGCAGCTCAGGAGTGCTCCACACTTACTTCGCGCGTTCCAGTGCTTAGAGTGTCGTACACTTGAACTACTCATTTCTGTTATCCCCTGCCTCCTCGAGCACCAACCTTTATTTCGGTGTTCCATGCTCCTGAAATCCGAAATAGTGGTGGTTCAGACGAGAGTGTTCCAGTGCTGCTTATGTCGAACAGTTCAAGAGCGTCACACTCCAAGAGCATGATACTCTAACAGTTTAGGCACTAGAAACAGCTTTGGCTTTGCTACATAAAAAATTTGAAAGCATTATATAAATATAGTTAGTTTGTGATCTTTTTTTTGACCGTTTTTTGAAGCTATACAGGGTGTCACGAAAGGTTTGTTACAAACTTCTAGGGATAGTAGATCTCGTAAAAATATAGTTATTTTCCTAACAAGTGCGCAAAGTGTTACTTTTCCGCACGCAAACACAGTTATACGAACGACGCGAAGCGGAGTTCGGATAAGTGTTTGCGTGCGGAAAAGACACTTTGCGCACGTGTTAGGAACAAAATTTTTCCTACGAGCTTCATATCAGGTAGGTAACAACAAAAAAAAAACGATAATTTGTTCAATTATTTTCAATTAACTTGAAGCGAACCTATTCATTCATCAAAAAATTACATAGGTAACAAAAAAACAGAAAATCGAAATTCTCGTCAGAGCTGTTCATCTTAAGGCGTTTAAATTTGATGCGAAAGAAGTTTGTAGATTCTTGCATGTAAATGGAGAACACAAATCTGACGTTAAAGATAATTATATTCAGTGTTTGTATAGATGTTGGCTCATATAGAAACATAGGAGAAATTTGTCATCATGAGTCAAAGTCGACAGGTGCACTTATTGTTGCTTGACAATTATTTTTACTTTTCGGCACTCAGTGCGGATAAGGCCCGTATCCGCACTGAGTGCGGAAAAGTATAACTTTGAGAAAGGTAATGCGTGCGGAAAAGTACTACTTTGCGCACGCTCGTAGGAAAAAACATTTTTCTTAATAAACATGTGTCCGGAAATGCTTCGTTTTCCAGATATACAGGGTGGCCCAAATTTGAGCCTCATCATTGGGATCTCGGTAACCGTAAGAGATACGAGGTCGGTTAAATTATGGCAAAGTTGCGCAATTTTATGACCAATAGAATACCGTTTTGAAACTAGAAAGATTCCGAATACTTCCGGAGATATTCGCAAAAAACCAAAATTTTGTAAAATCGTTTTTATTTTTTCCCGGGCTTATTTGAAAATAAATTTTAAAATAAATGTCACTTCATCATTGTCACTTTTTCTCCTTTAGAAGATGGTGCTACTAAATTTAACATTCGATGTTTCGTCTTCAGGCGGCCATCCTCAACTTCCTTATTTTAAATACGGACCTGGATTTTTTATTTGCGATTTTGTCATCTTTGCGCGTATTTAAAAAAAAAATTAATGATGATTTCAGAGGAACGAAACAATGGATTTTAAATTTAATACCGCCATCATGTAGAGAAGAAAAAGTGACAATGGCAAGGTGAAATTAGTTTTCCACAATCTTTTTAAATAAAATCAGGAAAAAATGAAAACTATACGGAAAAAAAAAATTCTCGTTTTTCTTAAATTTTTTCCTGATTTCATTTAAAAAGATTTTGAAAAACTAATTTCACATTCCCACTGTCACTTTATCTTCTTTTCAAGATGACGGATAAAATTTGAAATCCGACGTTTTTCAAATACGGACCTGCTTTTTTACCGTGTTATTGAAAAATTATAAACAGTATCGGTTTTAGGATGCCCAAAGATGACAAAATCGCAAATAAAAAATCTAGGTTCGTATTTAAAAATCGTAAGTTAAGGATGGCCGCCTGAAGACGATACGTCGAACTTCAAATTTAGTACCACCATCTTCTAGAGGGGAAGAAGTGACAATGATGAAGTGACATTTATTTTAAAATTGCTTTTCAAATAAGCCCGGGAAAAAAAAAACGATTTTTCAAAATTTTGGTTTTTTCCGAATATCTCCGGAAGTATTCGGAATCTTTCTAGTTTCAAAACGGTATTCTTTTGGTCATAAAATTGCGCAACTTTGCCATAATTTAACCGACCCCGTATCTCTTACGGTTACCGAGATCCCAATGATGAGGTTCAAATTTGGGCCACCCTGTATATCTGGAAAACGAAGCATTTCCGGACACATGTTTATCAAGAAAAAAGTTTTATTTTTACGAGATCTACCATCCCTAGAAGTTTGTAACAAACCTTTCGTGACACCCTGTATACATACATAGATACCAGTTTTTCTACTGAACGCAACACATACAGATGACTTATCATCTAGGTGTTGCAACTTTAATTTCTGTGAAGTGAATAGTGAATCAAGATCAATTGCATTGTAATGTATAGCAATTGTATTTGTTAACTTAACTAAAAATATTATAGATATGTTATATATTGTGAATAATTTATACATTCAATAAAGTAAGTATTATTATTATTATTATTATTGACAATTCTACATAAAATTGCAAACATATTGTCATTTTGACTTTTATCTTAAAAAAAAAACAGACTTTAGAATTATTCAATCCATCTGTCAAAACGAAAAATTCAATGTGACGTGGCGGCCAAGCAAGTTTGTTTTGGATATGTTTTTATGCGTATTTTAAATTATTTTGCATACAGTTTTGCTAACAACTTTGATTTTCATTATTTAATAAAATATTTGTTGACTAGGTACCTGAACTATTAATTCCGGCAGAAACTAGATATTTTTTTTTGTGTTTTTTGGCCCATGTGTGGCCGCCACGCCATCTTGAATGTCACGTGGTTTGAATTGCCTAATATCAAAATGTTGTTTTATTTGTAGCTCAGTAGCCATGAAAACTATGTGGCTATTATTACTTTAGAATCAATGGTTTAGAAGCATAAAATTTGGCACACGCGTTTTTAAGGGGATTTTAAGAAATTGTCGAGTCCCCAAATAAATCCTCCATAGGGTGTGGAGCTTGATGTGGAGTTTCCGCCATTTTTTTTTAAATGACCAGCTACGTTTTTAGAAATATCGAATTTTGGATCAAGGAAACATGGACCCGGACCGAGATGAAATATCGGTTCCGGTCCTGTTCCGGCCACAGCGTCAGTCATGACAAATATCGGGTCCGTTACGGCTCTAGTTCTAAGAGAAATATTTCGTTTCGGTCCGAACCAATAATTTCGGGTCTAACGGTTCATACCGGTATAGATTTTTACTAACAGAACAATTTATCTTTCTGTTATTTATGGTTTATTTATTATTGGATTTCTATACTCATCTGCAACTCAAAGTACCAGCGATGTCGCAGGCAGCGTGCCGTTTCTTGCCTTGATGAAGAGTGTTTGCAAGGGTAACACAAATACTGAATTACTTATGGCCGTTTACACCAACTATTTTAGGGGAGCCCTAACGATAAGTATTCCCTAAAATGACATTTTTACATGGAGAAATGTCAGTTTGGCATACCTATCGTTAGGGCTTCCCTAAAATAGTTGGTGGAAATGGCCATTATTGGCCTCGTTTTATGGTAATCGCCACCAGATTGGTGTGTCACCATTTCGGACGTCATAACTAAGTCGTCAGCTGTTTGCACTAGCGTTCGTAGTTTAGAAATTTATGATGAAAATTGAAAAATAATATTTAATTTTGATTGACGTCAAAGAGGAAGATGAAAACGAGATTTAAAAAACAATTGTTTTGAATGTTTAACTAATGTAGTAAAACCTACGCTGTTTCCTCACTTTTTTGTATATTATATGTTGTATATTTTCGCGATAAACTCATGACGTCACACAAAATTGGTTCAAATCGTTTTGAAATACCATCCAATCTAAGTTTTCATACCATTTTTTCGCGCCGAGAACTCCGAGAAGTTATGACGTCATTGTGAAAGTGTATTAAACCAGTTTTGAAAAATGGTTCAAAACTTTGAGACGCGAGAAATTACGAGAGAGGACTGGTAATCCGTCAAGCCTGCGTGTTACCGGCTTGCCCAAGACCGTTTAGGCCAGTGGCGTATCACAAAATCATACGTAGTTAAAACGGAATGTCTAAATGGTTGATCACCACGCCAAAATTTACGATTTTTTCAGGATATACGTATTTTGGGGCGTAAATTAGGAAATAATCAGTTTATTCGCTCTTAATAAGTTTTTAGGATTTTTTAAAATTAAAATCAAGTATTTAAATGGTCTACGCCACTGGTAGATTCAAAGGATTTGACAGATCGAATCAACAAAATTATTGATTTTTCAATGGAAACATTTAAAATAGGGAATTATATTAAGACCCGTAATTTGCTTACACAGAGTATAATATGATACTTATAGGGCATGTATAAAATCTATTCCCAAATATAAAAAAAGCGCCTGTATAATGATGGTTTTATTATGCATTGTTTATTAATTACCTGTGAAAAGATACTCCCGGCTCCTTTTTCTCGCTACGACTTTTACACTGAAAAGCACAACAATTCACCATGTCTGTTAGCATAAAATTTAGTCAAATATTATAGTTATTTATGTATCAAGGGAATTATGCAGGTGTTAATACCCCAGGGCAACGTTTGTGTCCCGAGGGCCTCCGGCCCGAGGGACACCAATTGCCCGTGGGTATTAACTCCTGATAATTCCCGTGGTACATAGATAATTTTATATCCTACTGAATTTACTGTATTCTGTCTATTTTTATGAAGGAATAAGCCATAAATCAAAATTTCTATTTTTTGTCAAAGTGTTACCTATTCAAGGTAAAAGCGGGAGTTATGGAAATCCTTAACTCCCTTGGGAGTTATGATATCCTTAACTCCCTTCCTTAACTCCCTTGGGAGTTATGAAAATCCTTAACTCCCTTGGGAGTTAAGACCCTGTTTATGATTATCGTAACCAAGGTATTATATGGTTTTAATAGTTCAGTAGGATATAAAAACTTTTTAGTCACAAAATCACAAAATATCAACACTGCCACAGAAGCTTGTTTGCCACAAATAAAATGGCGGCCGGTCAATTGATATAACAAAAGCCTAGCATTGCGTTAAACCAGTGCGCGGTATCCTCTAAGAGTAGTGTGTATTATCCTTGGGGTGTTTGCACTACATCCACACTGGTTATGATTGCGCCAATTTACTTTACGCACTAGTGCGTGAATTTAAAATGTTTTGTATCAAAACCAACCAGTACCTACTCACACTGGTTTAATCTATATATATATAAATCAAAGTTCACGGGGTATCCGGATATGCGCTCCAAAACCACTTATCCGATTACGATGAAACTTTGGTAGGTTGTTATGGCCATCCCAAGGAAGGTTTGTGGATAGGTTACGCATCTCGGAAAAAGAAATTAATTTTGAATTAATTATTAATTTAATTGTAAACAAACTCATTCATATTACATAACAACATAACCCAACTTTTTTTGACAGCATGAAACAACGTTGCCATATTTCATTTATTTAGGCTTGCATTCAACCGACGTATCTTTATTACTTTTTGAATTCAAGAACGGCTGGACCGATATTGAATTAATACCACGTATCTCTATATAAGGTGAATTTGATTGACCCAGATTAGATCGATTTGGGTTCAATTTAAGGGAACTTCTTCTGATCTAGATCATTTTTTTGTTGATGAGGGTGCACTGATCCAGCTTGAATCGAACACAGTGTGGTTCACTTAAATTGAACCAGATCGATCTAATCCGGTCAATCGAATCGGCTAGAGGAGAGTGATATAGGCTATTTTTTATCCCGAAAAAAAAAGTTCGGTTGCGTAAAACTCTGATACACTGGAACGCCTATAAACAGCTCGGGGCGCTCTAGAGCAGCTCTGGAGTGCTTAAAATGCGTCACTGAACTCACTGGCAAGCGACTATGATATCGGATAAAAAAAAAAAATTAAATAGCAAATCAACAACAAAATTTGAAAAGAAGTGTATTATTTCAAAATGTATTTACATGCTGGCAACGCAACGGGTCATTAGCTAGTATTACATAAATATGCCCAAATTACTATTAGGAGTACTTTTTGCACTTTTCAATTTTTTCATTTTCCGTAGTCAGTATAATAGTGGGGTTATGTCAACGTCAACGCCCGACGATTTGTCCATGACGTCATTTATCGGGTAAGTTACCTTGTCGGACGTTTCATTGTGAACGCAGGAATGCTCCACAATTAGGTACTTTGCGCGTTCCAGTGCTTAGAGAGTGTCGTTCACTTGAACTACTCATTTCTGTTATCCCCTGCCCCCTCGAGCACCAACCTTTATTTCGGTGTTCCATGCTCCCGAAATCCGAAATAGTGGGGGTTAAGACGAGACCGTTCCAGTGCTGCTTATGTCGAACAGTTCAAGTCAAGAGCGTCACACTCCAGGAGCATGATACTCTAACATTTTAAGGCACTGGAAAGCAGCTCATGCGTTTTGCACTAGAACGCTTGAAACCGAACGGGTCAGACTGTAACCGGAGTACTTCGGAGTAGCTCGGGAGCGCTCAAAGGGTGGCACTCGAAAGTAGCTTAGTGTTGAGACAGCAGCGAACAACTGAATAACGTTGTCATGTTGTTATAATATTATAAAACAAAACTTGGTAACGTTCGCTTCGTAAATTCTCCGCAACATTCTCGTATAATTTCCCCGAATGGGAACTTTCGCTTCAACAAGCGCGAACTTAACCGTAAATTACGGAATTTATGAGAACGTTTGCTCGGTAAAGTTCGCCACTCCCAACACTAAACCCCACTCTCTGTACTATTGGGTGATATTCATTTCGGCCCGGATAACGGAAGATTGTATTTGATAAACTCTGAAATTGAAATTTGATAGATTTGTAGCTGCTCCAAGCAGTTCCAGATACAAATTCTGTGAACTGGGAAGCTGCCTCGAGACTGTTTGAAGCAGACAGATACAAATGAAAACAACCAAAACCGAACCCTGCTGTGACTAAAAAGAAAGCGCCTTTTGCTTGGGCGATTTCGAGATTGACAATTTTTAAAGACTTTGAAATGTTTATTTCATACTAGAGAATGCAAAATTTTTAAGTCTCATTTTTAATCTATTTTTAATTATTTATTGCTTCGAATAAATCGTAGGTGAGTGAGCCTTGAAAATATTTTTCAATTTTTTTCCATTTAATTTTTATATTCCCTCTGAAACTACCTACATATTAGATAATAGGTGTAATCAAATTAATCAAAACAATTAACAAGAGCTTGTGAAAATTTCAATATACAAAATATCCAAAAAAAAAAATACCTACACTACCTCTTATTCAAGTTTTTATTGCAGAAGATGGCTTTTACAATATTCCAAAAACTATTGCAACCGATAAAATGTTCAATTACCAAAAACCGTTTCGCCAGCAGTGAAGAGAGCAACTTGGCAAAACTCTCTGCCCCCCATAAAGTCGACAACTGGGAAAGACATTTCCTCGTCTGGACAAAGAAATACAAATCGCTGGATGAAGTTCCTGCGTTCGTCAGCCAAGCGGTGATGGAAAAAACCAGAAATCGCATGAGAATCAGAATCGCCAACTACATGATCGTCGCTACGATCTTAGGATGTTGTGCGATGATCTATTTAGGTAAACAAGACGCCAAAGCGGGCAAAAGCGTCACGAAGATGAACTTGGAGTGGCACAGGCAGATTAAGGAGGAGGATGAGAAGGCCAAGGCAGCAGCTGCACAAAAATAATTTGTTTATCAGGGAAATTTTAGTAAACATGAATTCCTGTCCTGGCCAGAATTCAACAATAGTAGGCTGTGTAAAGATTTGCTTGTATACAGTTATTTAATTATATAGAATCAAATATAAATAGTACTTGTATATATTTATTAATAAACTATTTATTATCAATATGAATTTCAATTATCTTGAGTCTTGAGTGTTCTGTTAATGACTTGCAAGTGAATTTAAAATGTTTCATAATATTAATATGTTGGTGCTGTACCACAGGCTGTACTATTAAAAAGCAGGCCGCACGGAGCCCCGAAGTGTTTTTTAGTTTTTTGAGTCGAAGCGTTTTGAAACAGTTTCAAAAAACTCCATTTCCTTGAGTCATTGATGACATCACACTTGATTTCGGTTCATAAAATAGTGACGTCAGAGCTGAAACTGTTTTAAAACGGTCTTTGAAACTGTTTCTTCAAAAAAAAATGCCTTCAATAAAGTGTTCTAGAATAATTTCTTGAATTGGTTTTGAAATCATTAGGGGAGAATCAATTGATTATCAAGAAAATAATGAGTTTTTTAACGTTCTCCTTGAGGTTTCGAATGTCAAAGCTTTCTTTTAATTGGTTTCACTCAGAACTAGTTCGGAATCATTCTGCACATGCCCCTATCATAAAACACGTTTTCGTTTTTTCAGAATCGTAATCGAACTGTGTGGACAGTGTTTTGGGGTTTTGGTTTATCTACAACTATTTAGGAACAATTCTGGGATTGTTCTAGAACGGTTCTCGCAGTTCTTGCTCTGAAGGAGGAACTGTTTTAGACTTTTGCGGCGTGTTTTGGTCTTTTGTTTCCAAATCGGTTTAGAACTATATAGTATTAGAACAGTCCTCTATTTTATTATTTTTGTGCGTAAGCAGTTCTGCGCAATCCGGAATCCCCGAACTGTTCCAAATTTCGAACCAAAACAAAGCTATTCTAGCAACTGAGAGAACCGTTTTAGAACAGACCCAGAATTGTTCTTAAATGGTTCTAGATAAACCAAAACGCTGTCAGCAACCAAAACAAAGCTAATATGCTTTGATTCCAAGAAATCGAGTCCGATGAGCAATCTGTAGTAGTAGTGTGGTCAGGTTCATCAGGACGTAGCGCTACAGTAGCGATAATCAACAATGTTGCCAGTTTTACAAATGTAGAAAATCTATTACATTTATCAAAGGTTAATAGGGCAATCCCACCACCTGTCAAAAACAAATTCAAAATGCCGGTCAATGCCTTTTTATTTTTAAAAAATGCCGTTTTATTGCGATTTTTGATTTGTATAAAGTCTGTAAAGTGTTAATTTTTTGGAAAATGCATACTTTATGTATAGTACTTAGTTGTGAAAGCCGTTCTAATCGCGAGAAAGTCTCGTTTCATGCCGTTCCTGCAGAGACAAAACACAGGTTTTTAACGGAGAAATATGATTTGTCTGTACCTACTTTGTAAGCCCTTCATGGATTGTGGCAAAAAAGAAAAAAACTGATGAAATCCATATTTAAAAACCAAAAAGTCTCTCTACATAAACGGTGTATGGATCCAAGCCATGTACTAGGTATCCTCCACAACTTGTGTCGATACCTTGAATAGCAAACCAATAAAATAAAATATATACATCAGGATTCAGGATTTTGTTAAGAAAAAACTAAACAGGAAACAAATCCTGGATAGTACTTACCTAATTGTTTAGTAGGTAAAGGTTTGTCACAAAGAAATCATAACTTTTGTTAACATCCGGGTTTTCCACTAATAATTTCTCAAACTAAAAACTCTCCATCTTAAAATACGAAAATTATCCTTCCAAGCGCTAGAAAATCATCTAAAAACACCATAAAATACACAAAAAACTTTTTTTTTGATGAAAAATCTCACGGTTGTTTGAATTAAATCCATGGCGCCAATTTTTTGGCATTGGCCGCCATTTTGTTTGGATTGCCCTATTATTTACATTATTACATTTCCAATAAATCTATATATTTTCACTTATTTAACCAAAAATTATTAAAATTAATGATTTCCGCTTGAAACACTGAGCGCTCGGACCATTTTCCATATTTTTTTCCTTTTGGTGAGAAGAACAGGGATAAAATTTGCTACAATTGTAGTAATTTGGCAACACTGCTGATGATCGCTATTGTAGCGCTACGTCCTGATGAACCCGACCACTCACTCGGAGTATACTCGGTGTAAGTTGAATTCTCAAATAAAACCAAACTAGTAATCTAGTTTGAGTCACAGCCGCAAAGCTCATAACCAACACTAATGCGAGACACAAGATTTTCCCGCCGACACTTGCTTGTTTGTTCTTTTCACGTGGCTCCGGTTTAACTAACCGGGTTACAAAACGGTTAGAGAAATGACATACCGTTTTCTAACCCGGTTACAAAGTGACGTGTGGATACCTACCACCCGAATTTGAGCGGTATGTTGCGGTTTGTTAAACCGGAGCCACGTGAAAAGGGTTAATGTAATTGATTTGAATTTGATGGAATAGATTTGATGGACGAAAAGGCACACTACACACAATCACTATTGTTAGGAAAAAATTTTGAAAAAATCCAAGGATTATACCGTTATCATACACACTACTACTACAGGATGGCCTATCCTCATAAAGCCTAGTACTCATAACTGCGAAATTCGCTCTTTTCTGACATTGCTTCGACAATTTGACGTTTTATGCGTGAATCAAACGTCAAATTGTCGAAGAAATGTCAAAAAATTCGAAATTCGCAGTTATGAGTACTAGGCTTAAGGCCTGTGTGTAACAAGCTCCCCCCTTTCTCCTTAGACAAAATACCAGTTGTGACGTAGGCAGCATGTTATTTCTCGCCTTGACAAAATGTGCCTTGACGTAGGGCGGGTATTATAAAACTACTTTGACAGTTAACTTGAAGTTAACTTTTTGAATTACAAGTAATTCCAGAAGTTAACTTTAAGGGCGGGTATTATAAAACTACTTTGAGAGTTAACTTAAAGTTAACTTCTGGAATTACATGTAATTAAGGGCGGGTATTATAAAATTGCTTTGAAAGTTAACTTGAAGTTAACTTTTTGAATTACATGTAATTCCAGAAGTTAACTTCAAGTTAACTGTCAAAGCAGTTTTATAATACCCACCCTAAAAAAGTTAACTTCAAGTTAACTGTCAAAGCAGTTTTATAATACCTGCCCTAAGTTAACTCTCAAAGTAGTTTTATAATACCCGCCCTACGTCAAGGCACATTTTGTCAAGGCGAGAAATAACATGCTGCGTACGTCACAACTGGTATTTTGTCTAAGGAGTAAGGGGGGAACTTGTTACACACAGGCCTTCAAGTTAACTGTCAAAGCAGTTTTATAATACCCGCCCGTAGGCTGTTTTAAGCAGCTGACGATTTAGTTATGACGTCGGCAATGGTGGCACAACAATATGGCGGCGATTATCAAAATCGAGGCTGATAAGCACTCCTTCCTTGACTCCTTAGAGTGTGTATATTCATTAGAGAGTTCTCGTACTGTCCAAATTTCAAATACCGTAACGCTGTTTAGCAAGTATAACAGTTCTTACGGTACACTTAGGGCGGGTATTATAAAACTGCTTTGACAGTTAACTTAAAGTTAACTTTTTGAATTACATGTAATTCATGAAGTTAACTTAAAGTTAACTCTCAAAGTAGTTTTATAATACCCACCCTTAGCAGTGGAGTTAGCGGATGCCTTACCTTAACGTTATGCTATCTCAAAATTAGTTTATGCTCCAATTGTCTGCAAGAACAGCAACTTCTAAAATCTGTTTTTTTTTTAAGATAAAGGTCAAAATGACATTATGTTGGCAATACAATGTAAAATTGTCAATTTTTCAAATTTTTTTATGTAGAAAGGCTTGTGCATAACATAACATAGTTACTAAATTTTTGATTTGGGAATTATCTTTAAAAAAAAAACAGACTTTAATAATTCCTACATAAAAATCACCAAGGAAAAATTAATGAAACTCGGGAATCTTCAGGATAAATAAAAGTTAGAAAACAAGCAAAAAAAGTTGAGTTAGATCACTCAACTCAGCGGGCAAAAAGTGAACAGAATAAGGGATTAGAGGATTTTTGAGTTTTCGTGTCCGAGAACTATGAAATACCATGTAAAATACCGTATTGTTAGCGGTACCGTATTTACCGTAGCATCTAGGCACGAGAACTTTCTATTATGCACTAGCCCGCTAAACAGGAACTTTAGTGCAAATAGTGTAAAACACAGAGTATAAAAAGTGTATAAAACGGGGGTAAAAAAAGCACCTATGGTCAATGGCGGTGTAAGTTCAGTTGACAGTTGACATTATTGAAATTTGTTTGTCAATTTAAATTTGTGTTTATATTTATAAAATTGTAGCTAGAGCTTGTTTTGTTTCGTGTTTTCCTTTTGATCCAATTTTATAAGAATAATCTTTTTTTTTTCAATTAGACAATTAAATAATGTTCTTGATATTTATACACAAATAAAAAAAAAATATATTTTTGATTTTTCAACTTTTTTACATTAGTTTTAGCATAAGTATAAGATTTCAGTGGTATGTTTTGGCTTATTTAGGCCCCCTAGTTAACTGGATCACAAAAAGAGTAATTATTGTGAGTCTCTTCAACATGATGATGAATTGAATTATTTAAAATAGGTAACAAATCGCCACAATAAACATTAAAATCCTGCACAATGTCGAAAGTAAATGAGAGCGACCTGTACGGGACCAATTTTTCGATTGAATCAATAAAAGTGATGGCAGAAAGTATCGGAATTAACAGTTTACAAGACGAGGCCGCCAAAGATTTAGCTGAGGACATTTCGTTTCGTTTAAAGCATGTAGTACAAGATGCTGCAAAGTTTATGAATCATTCCAAAAGAATCAAGTTGTTGCAGAGCGATGTTGATGCTGCTTTGAGAGTCAGGAATGTAGAGGTAAGAAAATTATTGCCTGCCCTAGGCCTAATACATTTCCTCATTATTTATGATATATATTAGGTGTAGGGTAAGTACCTATTATTTGGATTTTTAATATTTGGTAAAATGCTTCATTCTGCTATTTATTCATTTATGGTTTTACCTTGGGTCTCATAGCAACAATGAACTATAAACTGCACGTCCCTGGAATGGCCCGCCGATCTATAAATTTTCGGCAACTTGAGATGGAGAATGTGGGGGGATACCTATCTCTATTTATCTTATTGCCGAATTATGGAAATCTTTCCTTGTCTAAAAAATATTATATTTGAGGTTAGGAATATACCAAACTTAACAGCAACGAACTGGAGAGAGAAAGGTATCCCCCACTATGTAGCTTTCTTGGACGCACTAAGCAAGATGACGAATGCAATTAAATACCATATCCGTCAACAGTCGGTGCCATTCCAGATACGTGTAGTTCGAGTTGTAGTTTATAGTTCATTGCATAGCTATTTGCACTGCTACAGGTCAGCAATTAATTATTGTCAACACCTACAAAAAAGTTGAAATTTCAAATTTTTCCATGTTTGAAAAAAGAGAAAAGAGCAGCGGAAAATTTGAAAAATGATAAAAAAATTCCCCCTTCATTGCTTGGTGTGGGATTTTATTTCTGGAAACATAATTTCTGGAACTATAACTCCAAATGAGCTGTAATTTTCAGTGTTTGTAAAGTCTGTTTTTCTTTTAAAGATAATTCCCCAAGTCAAAAATTTAGTAACTATGTTGGTAACACAAGCCTTTTCTACATAAATAATTTCAAAGCATTGACAATTTTACACACAGAACATATCACCTCTAGAAAAGTATCTGCAATGTTATGTACCGGCTATGAATTACAGCGCCATCGTTGACTGAAAACCCAACTAATCGGGCATTCTTGACAAAAAGGCGAATTGATTTTTCTCATATATTTTTATTATTTTTAAATAATTTTCAATGTTCAACTGCATTTCGCTTGCTGACTCCTTTTAGCTCTTTTCGCCCCATTTTTTTGAAAACTATGACTGGCAGGAAGTTTCCGATGTCGAACATAGTGCAAAAAGAGTTAGTAAGTTATAGTCCAGGAGGTGGCGCCAAAAACATGCAAGAGTTTTCGCAAGGCGGATATTTTCAAAATAGGTCGTACTTTAGTGCTAGAATGCTAGTGTACAGTCAGCCCTCACAGTTCCGGGACAACTGGCTCTGGGACGCGGGCAAAGTTGTAATTTTACGAAGCATCTAAACTGTTTTCTCAAAGCTCAAAATTTATAGAAATTTTGCACATTATCTGTTTGAAGGTCACAGATAACGTAGGTAAATCGTCAGACGTCTAGTTCGTTGCAAAAAGGGGGTCAGACGTCCTCAAAGTTTTTATTTTATGGCATTTTCTTCAAATATATTTGTCAAATACCTGCAAAAATATATTTTGACAGGACACCGAAGAAAATGCCATAAAATAAAAATTTTGAGGACGTCTGACCCCCTTTTTGCAACGAACTAGACGTCTGACGATTTACATACGTTATCTGTGACCTTCAAACAGATAATGTGCAAAATTTCTATAAATTTTGAGCTTTGAGAAAACAGTTTAGATGCTTCTTAAAATTACAAGTTTGCCCGCGTCCCAGAGCCAGCTGTCCCGGAACTGTGAGTGCTGACTGTACACTAGCATTCTAACACTAAAGTACGACCTATTTTGAAAATATCCGCCTTGCGGAAACTCTTGCATGTTTTTGACGCCAGCTCCCCAACTATTAGCAAGAGACACGGAGCTATAGGTAGATCGCAAAGTAAATACGAATAATAAATACAAATACGAACGAAACAAAACAAACGAGTAAAAACAAAAAAAATACGAACAAAAATTAGGGTTTTTTTCAACCAAAACTTTTTGAATTTTCACTATAACGCGCGAGGGGACCATGGTTTACAACAACACAATTTAAAAATTCAAATTTTGACGTTTAAAATGACAAAATAAATGACAAAACCAACCAACACAAATCACTGTCCACACCACAGATGCCTGTAAATTTCTCTTATCTCCCGACAGTGTCGTCATAGTCCAGGAGGTGGCGCCAAAAACATGCAAGAGTTTTCGCAAGGCGGATATTTTCAAAATAGGTCGTACTTTAGTGCTAGAATGCTAGTGTACAGTCAGCACTCACAGTTCCGGGACAGCTGCCTCTGGGACGCGGGCAAAGTTGTACTTTTAAGAAGCATCTAAACTGTTTTCTCAAAGCTCAAAATTTATAGAAATTTTGCACATTATCTGTTTGAAGGTCACAGATAACGTATGTAAATCGTCAGACGTCTAGTTCGTTGCAAAAAGGGGGTCAGACATCCTCAAAGTTTTTATTTTATGGCATTTTCTTCAAATATATTTGTCAAATACCTGCAAAAATATATTTTGACAGGACACCGAAGAAAATGCCATAAAATAAAAACTTTGAGGACGTCTGACCCCCTTTTTGCAACGAACTAGACGTCTGACGATTTACATACGTTATCTGTGACCTTCAAACAGATAATCTGCAAAATTTCTATAAGTTTTGAGCTTTGAGAAAACAGTTTAGATCCTTCTTAAAATTACAACTTTGCCCGCGTCCCACAGCCAGCTGTCCCGGAACTGTGAGTGCTGACTGTACACTAGCATTCTAACACTAAAGTACGACCTATTTTGAAAATATCCGCCTTGCGAAAACTCTTGCATGTTTTTGACGCCAGCTCCCCAACTATCATCGTTGACTAGAAACCTAACTAAAAACCTTCGTCACGATTCTCCCATTTGAGATATTTTTCTATAGGTGATATGTTCTGTGATTTTACATTGTATTGCCAACATTATGTCATTTTGACTTTTATCTTTAAAAAAAAGCAAGGTATCCCTGCGTTTTTATTCTCATCAAATTTTATCGATGGATCCACCATTCTATGGCCATCATTGTCATTTTCTATTCACTAAACAAAGATAGCTAACTCATCGGTGAGGTCACCGATGAGAATAAAAACGAGGGGTTTATGACGATTTCCATTTGTCAATCAGTGCGCACTGAGTGTATCCGCATCTTTTTTCTAAAAGCATGTAACATTTAAGGATAAGGATACATTTTTCTTGCACTGGTTCGACAAATGGAAAACGCTATTAGTTTGATTTGTTGACTGTCACTAGAAAAAGATTCGCCCGTTGTCAAACTTTCAAATCAAAAGCCTTTTCAAATAGTATTTTAATTATTAGCCAGGTAAAACAGTTTTTACTGGTGATTAAAGGAAATGACTAGCGAGCCGTCAGGCGAGCTTGTCACCTTCAAGAGCCATGGCAACAACGCGCACTTGAAATAAATTGTTTATGTCCGATTGACCAATAAAGTGCTATTTATAGAACAGTTTTGCGTCAATAAAGTAGCACTTTATTGTACTAGTAAAATAAAGTGCTACTTTATTTTACTAGTAAAATAAAGTGCTACTTTATTGCCTACCTGGACAACCTGACAAGGTGAAACAGGTCCTGACAACCCGCCAAGATGAAACAGGTCCTGACAACCTGCCAAGGTGAAACAGATATACCTACGCGAATTTTACTTTTTTCATTAAATTTTTTTAATTTTTAACAAAAATCAGTCGCAATCGTACATAAAATCATGTATATAACGCTTACATAAACAGGCTTTATTGACTCATTATTTAATAGCCTCGCTCGCAAGCTGGCTCGGCCATAAAATTATTCGTACAATAAAGCCTTACTTTATGTACTTGTTATATAAATAGCTATTATTTTTCACTCATATCTTTAAACCTAAATTTTACAGTAAATTTTTTTGTTTTAAATTATATAAACCGCCAGTTGTGTTTCTAAATGTGTTTACTTTAAAAATAAGTGCAAGACTAGTGATAAAACATTTTCTGCTCCACATAATACTAACTTCAACCAACACACCCTTTTATTTGATAGCAGTTTAATTCAATCGAGTTTGAACTTTGTACCTTGCAACGTTGTCACGTTAGCCACGGAAACAGGGAAATTTCAGAAATTAGAAATGGAGTTTAAGTGTTGTCCAACAAAACCACCTACCAACCTCAAGTACCTGTTTTGCATAGTTTGCTTTCATGGTTTTTATAAATCGTGCGCAGAAAGGAGCGCTTTTCGATATCTGGAACAACACAAAATCATCTGTTCCAAGGCATGTGGGGATGAAATCTCAAAGCGGGATGAAACAGTATCACAGTTGTCTCTACTTGAAAGCATAATTGTAAAACAGAAAAATGAAATGGCAATGAAAGATTCTACATACGAGAAAATGGAGTTGGATTATCAGGATGAAATTGAGAGCCATAGGAAAGAGATGGATTTGCTTACAAATGAGTTGAAACACAAGGACAGTTTCCTGAAAAGAATTGAGAGAAATTCACAAAGATTGAATGATGAAGCAGAAGCCATTGAAGAGAGCTGTAATAAAAAAATAAGCGAATTACATGGGAAAAACGAAGAGCTACGAAAAAGGTTAGCACAGTTGAAGGAAATGAATGAGAACTTGGAGAGAACGCTTAGGACATTTGAGGAAGAAAAGGAAAAGCAAATTGATAAACTTTTCGGTGAAAATCAAAGGACGCTCTCTCGAATAAACATACTTATTGGACAGGACAACAAAAACCAGGCTGTTATAAAGGAACTGCATAGGGAAATCGAGAAACTTGTAAAAAATTCTAATGCACCTGTTAATCTAGATCAAACTTCAAGAGGTACTCAAACAATACATGAGAATAAACATACGCAATCACAATCACAGCCCCAATCAAGAAAACTTAAAGTAGGAATATCAACCCGAATATTAATTATTTCGGATGAACACTGGAAAAAATTAGGCAGAAACATCGAAAGGCATATTGACTCGGAAAACATCTTTATTGAATCAATATTGAAACCTGGAGCTCATTACGATGGCGTACTTCACGGGTTGAAATCCTTAACTAGGGAC